CACCGATCAGCTGTGCTTCGGCCCTCTCTCTCTCTCTCTCCCCCCCCACCCCTTGCAGGTCCAGCCTGGGCAGGGCGATTGAGGCACCGCGCTGCCACGGCTGGAGTTGCGAGGGGAGAGAGCACCAAAGCACAGCTGATGGGTGGGAATTTGCAAAGATCGCGTGGAAGCCAGCTTCGCAAACCCCCACCGACTTCGGCACACACTCTCTCCTCTTGCAGCTCCAGCCTGGGCAGGGAGACTGTCCCTGCCCAGGCTGGAGTTGCGAGGGGAGAGAGCGCCGAAGTACAGCTGGTCAGTGGGGGTTTGCAAAGCTGGCTTCCCCGCGATCTTTGCAAACCCCCGCCCATCAGCTGTGCTTTGGGGCTTTCCCTCTCCACCCCTCACAACACAGCTGATCAGCGGGGCCTTTGGGATGATTGTGGGGAAGCTCTTCCCCACGATAATCACTAAGCGATTTCCCCCCATTTAAAACATCGCAATGCGATCGCTTTTGTGATCACAAAAACTCCATCGCTATGCGGATTCATCGTTAAACGGGGCGCTCGTTAAGCGAGGCACCACTGTATTTTTCACTCACTCCCTCAGCACTTACCCAGTGACTTTGCAGTGGCATCATGCAGCTAGGTTACCTGGCAGATGTCTGTCTTTCTTGCATGGCATGATGCTGCAGCATGTTGATACTGGGAGTTCCTTAAGTGGTGATATTGCATTGATCTCACATGAAGTCAGCATAGGTGGAAAAGATTATACTAGCCGAGAGGTTTCAGTCTTTCATGTGGGTGTAGCCAAGAAATATTTATCCATGTTAGTTTTCCATGTGTGAGCACAATATTTTAAAAGCATTCCAGGTGGTCCATATGATGGCAGGATCTGTGCTCCATATATAGATGCTGCCAGGAGTTTGTAACATTAATTATGTGCCATCAAGTTGACTGTGACATGTGGAGGCCTTTGCCAGGGTCTTCTAGGTAGAGAGTGCTCAGGACTGGTTTCCCATTTCCTTTTTCCACTAGCATTCTAGGACTGTACAGTTTGCCCAAGACTACATAGGCTAGGTCTCCTCCCAAGATGTACAATGATAACTCATTGAGTTATCCAGCCAACCAGGACTCTATGGCCAAGGAATATTGAAATCACAGACATATAAATTAGCACATTTGATATAATGCTTTATATGTGCAATTTCAAAACTGTTACACCTCCTCCGTGGAATGCTACTCTAGGTAAGAGCTGCTTGATTGCTGCACCAAAGCAAAATCCATTATATTTAATAGGGATCTGTTTCCCTCTGAATACATCTGCTTGCAATTCTTTGACAGATTACATATCTTCATAAAATAATAATACCCTTCTGCCCAAGAAAACCTAGGAAGAACAGGAGGCAAGGCAGCATTTACGTTGAATGGTGCAGCTTAACTGTGAGGCTGTTTTGGGGCCAAACGGTCAGCTTGAAAAGGCAGGGCTACAAGACACAACTTCAGATGCGTGCATTTTTCCTATTCATGCCCATTGGGAAGGAGTAGCTTTTTGCACTTCCACCAGCAAGAAAGGTTGTTCTACTGCCCCCTACTTCTTGCAGGCACATTTTGCAGCTGGCTCCTCTTTCCTTCAAGCTGAAACTTCCTGTACTGTACTGATTTTTTTCCAAAGTCCCTTCCTTAGAAACTCAGCCGGGGGCCAGACAGCAGGGAGGGCATCTCGCTGC